TGATAATGTACTTGATCCCTTCCTGACCAGCTCTACACAACCTAATATCAAGAGTGGATAATAATTATCCACTCTTGCTAATATGCATGCATGTTTCCATTTGTTTGCATAGGCTAGCTTTATTAACAAAAGGCCATTCAAAAAAATTAATAATAATAATAAAGACAACCGTCCACTACTAAAGTCCTCAGTTCATCAAAGCCTAGTCTCCTCCCATTCAAGACACATCTACAATAATAAACAAAGTTATTAAAAAGAGGGAAAATCCTATTTTGATCAGAATGAGCTCAAACGTTATACAGAACTTAAGAACATGCAGCCATACATGTACATGCATGTATTGGGGGAAATTGTATATAAAGAGACTTCTCTTGTTTTCATTTTTGGACAAAAATTGGCCCCAAAGTCACCCCAAATTTTTTGATACATTTTGATGCCGTTATGCTATGTAGAAAGTTTGAGCTGATTCCATCAAATATCTTTACCTTGCAACTGGTTGAATATTGAGTGCTCGAGTTTACCAACTGACTCAGGACAGACCCATCCCAATAGCTCAATAGTCATAGACTAGACACCCAGTAAGACACACACTGCTGAACTAAGAGGAGGAGGACAGGAAGACTACATGTACATACAGTACATGATGAATGCAAAAAATTAATATACATGTACATGTACATCTACATGCACATTCTAAGTTAAACTGAGATAAAAAGGCAATAACAAAACAATAAGATAATCCCATTATTTTGACTCTTGAAAATAACAAAAATTATTACTAATGAGATTTAATACACAATAATTACATGTACATACTGTACATGTACAACACAGTCTCTCTCAAATGGGAGAGTTCCTTATCTATAGATGCTTGCTATACATACTGTACTGTACACTGTACATATAAATCAAAAAGTACATGTACATGGATATTGTTCTCTACTCACTGAATTTGATGTCCCCATTCTGTCCCTCTTTTTCATTTCCATTGACCTATTGAGTCCAATCTGTACTGGGATTGGTGCTAAAATCAAGTAGTGAATCTTAGGGGGAGGGACACTGGTCTGTGGCCACACCTTCAATATCTTCTGAATACCTCTACCTACAATGTGTATATTTCCCTATGCCACCAATAAATCTAATTTTGATTGGAATGAGCTCAAACTTTCTACACAACATAACTACATGTATATGCATCAGGAAATGCATTTACTTCTGATAACCCTTGTAAAAATTCCCAGCAAGATCTTGTTAATTTTTTTACAAGATCATGACAAAAATCTTGACAATAATTCGCAAGATCTTTCCTGAATTTGGAACAAGGATCATGTAAGATAGTGGAAGATCTTGCTATCAAGATTCCTTCAAGTTCTTGCATGGTATTTTAGCATACAATGCTCTTTAAATATTAATGCAACAGTGAGATCTAAGCAAGATCTTACTTTGCATGAATGCATACTATAATGTTGTGAAATGTTAATGTGAGTGTGATTGATTTTTTTGATTGAAAGTGATTAAAATTTCAGTTTCTTTATATGCTGCCATTACTGTTAAGGCTATCGTGGGTTGTCAACTACTTAATGTGACGTCACATGATTTTTTAGATCTTTCAAGATCTTACAAGACTCAAAATACTGCGATGTGGGATCTTACAATATCATAAAATCATGGAAGATTTTTCAAGATCATAAACTTATGAGATTTTGTAAGACCGTATGATATTTTAAGCTAACAAGATAATGTTAGTTCTTACAAAGTTCACAATGTAGGATTTTTCAAGATTTTCATTAGAAAAATACTGCAATGTGGGATCTTACAGTATCATAAGATCATGGCAGATTTTTCAAGATCATAAACTTTAAGGATTTTGTAAGACCTTATGAGATCTTAAGCTAACAAGATCATGTTAGTTCTTACAAAGTTTACAATGTGGGATATTTCAAGATTTTAATTAGGCATGATCTTACATTTTCTAACATATTCCTTTACTCATAAGATCTTTGAAATTCTTACAAAAATTATAGTCATGTTAGATCTCAGGAGATCTGACAGCTTGTTAAAATCTTATGAAATCTTAAAGTAAGAATTTGTAAGAATTTCTGTGACAAGATTTTACAAGATTACTACCTTATGTTTTCTTGTATTGTCATGTGAAATCATGAAACATCTTATAAGATCTTGCTGGGATTTTTACAAGGGAAATGAAGTGCTTTTCTGAATCCAATAATTAAATTACATTTAAGGTCACAAGTGCATGTATAGAAAACAGACAAATGCACATCTGTACATTTGTACATGTACAATGTACTATAGATGCACATGTACATGTGTATACATTTATTCAATAAAATACCAAACAAAACTTAGTAAAAAAAAACAATTAGATCATTTGTATTATTTTCACTTACAACTCTTGTTGGTCAAAGTTGTTATCTTTTTGAGTACGTCAAGTTCAACCTGCTGACACCCACAGAGCAAAAGCCTCAAATCCTCAGGAGCCAAACCTTCCAATAGTAGTAGGGAGGACATCATATAAACCAGACTTCATTGAATAAAAGGGGAAAGAAAGAGAGAGAGAGAGAGAACAAAAAAACAGGAAGAAGGAAGAGGAGAAAGAATGACCCAGTAAACATGGCTATTACCCTCAATAAGCCTATCCTAACCTGGAGTGGTTCTTCAATTATCTTTATCATCCTACGTAACTTACTCAAATACTCCGACCATTAGCTCCAGAAACACTACATGTAAATTAAAAACCAATAATGTATACATGTATACATGTACATGCAGGGCCGTCGGAAGCAAATTAGAAGTGATGAGGCCATGGGTGGGAAGAAGGAGTGCTGAGGGTGCGCGAAGCGCGCCACAATTTTGGCCACACCCCCTTTTTAGCAGTAAAAGCACCGTTTTCCTTCATTTTTGTGAATTATGGGTTTGGTCAAGATAATTTCAAGCATACTGGCACTTCTGACGACTTCTGACCGCTCCTTAAAGCACTGGAAACTGCTGAAATCATGATCAGGGGGCTAAATAAACAAGGCTGACCACACCCATACATTAATTTTTAAAATTGCTTAAATAAAAATAAAAATTGGTGCTATAAATGTGGTGAGGCTAAAACGTCACCAGCCTCAGCAGTTCTGACGGCCTTCACATGTACTCACAGGCTGAGAGTGTGGTGTCCTTATAATGTTCAAAATTACTCTTCCTCCTTTCCCTCTCTATAGCAGATGGCAATACCAACCTAATATTGAACAATAATACACAATTATTATTATTATTATTATTATTATTTTTATTTTACCTCTCAAGGCTGTCAACCTCAAAATCACCCACTAACATTTCTTGATACCTAAGAATGATGAAATTAAATTCTGCAGAACATGCACAGAATAGAATACCCAAAAGAGGTTTTTTAAATAAAAATTAGATTGCTTGTAGTACAATGTCCACATAAATTGATGTACTATAGTAGGGCCACACTGACTTTGTTCAGCTAATTATAAATGCATGAGTAGCTGTGATATGAAAGTAGCTGTTAATTGTCACATAAGTGTTTGTTTATAATAGCTTACCCACAATGAATATAATTATGAGACAAATTTTATTATAAACTTTTATTATTTTAAAATTACAGTAAATAAAAGTAATAATCATTAGTCAGGTGTATTCATAATTGTCGTTAGCAACCACAGCATCATTTGGAGAGGCAGAGATTGAAGTGACACCTTTGCTAGAGGTTTTATTACTATCGGACTCATCACTGGACTCACTACTAATATTAGCAAGAAATTCAGATGTACAAAATGGTTCCTTTAAACAATGTCAGTCATCTCACATTTCATCTCTGAAAGTTGATTAAGTCAGCCCATCGGTCCTGTGATCCATTGTTGTTTTTCCTCATGTTTACGTGTAATAATGCAGTTCCACAGTATAAAACTATTGTTCTTTTCATGGTACATATACAAATCCTAGGCTTAAACAAAGTAAACTAAAAGATATGGCTTATTATAGCTACCTGATATTTTATATCGTTCTTCTCTTAATTTTCACAAGTGTATATGGCTAAAAATAGTTAAGAAGGTTAGCCTCACTCATCTTTTCATGTCCTTTTAGTTATATCTCGTCTCATGCCTTCCTTCCTGCTAAAACATCTCATTCTTGATGGACCATGTGGTGCACAGGTGGTCGCCATTTTTGTTATATACGCCCACGCTATTACCACACGTGGGCGGCAGTAATGGCGTCGAGTGCTTTCTAAGTGCCTAAGTGCTTTGATTTCTCTTCTCCTTTTCTACACCTGCGTTCTAGTTGTATCATATATTAAAATACCCGCTTTCTCATGAAAAGTATCATGGAAAAAAGCCACTATCTGTACTATATTAAATAAGAAAGTTATTTCAATTTAAAGTTGACAAAGTCAGTGTGGCTCTACTATAGTACTTGGATGTACATGTACATGTACATACATTAATACAGTTTATGTGTGTGTGTTTGAATGGTGCATTTGTGGCTAACTGTGTTTTGAATCTAATCCTGTCAGCCTCAGGTAGCTCTGGGAACAAGGACACTGAAGAGAGTTTTGATTCAACAATGTCTTCATCTAATTCTACAATAATAGCATCATCAATCTATTGGAGGGAGGGCATCAGACATTGTAATAAAATTGAGGGTAATTTGGGGGGACACTTTTCAGAAAAATCACAGCAATAGTCCATAATTTTCTTCACAATTTGACTGTTTTCAAAAATGCTCATAATCAAAAAGTTTAACAGCTCAAACTTTCTACATAGCAAAAGGACATCAATATGTATCAATAAATGTAATAAAAATTTGGGGTGATTTTGTAGTCATTTTTAGAAAAAACATGAATTATAGTCTTCATGCTTAAATTTCAAAAATTAGCTATTTCAAGTGATAAAG